CTCCAACACTCTCTGAAAGGAGCTCAGGGCAGAGATCAGGAATGAGGCACTCTGTGCTCTGGGAAAAAACTGGCAAAACAGGCCTTCAGATAGTTAGATATTTTCAGGAGAAGAGTTTGTGAATCCAGATTCTTGCATCTTCTCATATCTAGAAAAGCACTAAAATTGTTAATGGAGACATCCGCTCCTCCTGACTGGCCCCAACCTTCTCAAGATGTGTATTTGATTGCAGTACCACCTTCACCAAAATCAAAATTGACCTCCCTCCTACATCTTTGGAGAAGGTCCTCAGTGCTATCTGAGAGGCTGTCTCACAGGCTATAAGCCTAAGTAAGTTCCCCACCCCTGCCCCTCAAGAAAAGCTGAGGTCACAGCCCTTGTGCTGTGTGTTATTTTCAGTGGACAGCTTTGGCGAACAAGGAAGGGACCCAGAACAGACTTCTTTCCTTCACCTCAACTCTATGAGGATATGGAGCCTTGGTACCAGTAGCGCCTCTTGTGCCCATTCACCTTCGTGGAGAGTCCAGATGAATCTGGGTGAGTGTCTCCTGGTTCTTGAATCTCCCAATTCTTGGTTGATGATCCTGAGTTTTATTTGGCAGTATATACCAGATACCTGCCCCTCAGTTGAAGGATCCTCGGTGGGGTGCCCCCAACTGAAAGAAACTTCGGAGCCTGTTTGAAAGACACTGGGAATAAAGTGCCCCCCTCCCCATTTGAAAGATACTGAGATAGCCCAGGTGAAAGATACCAGGATTTGCTCAGTTGAAAGACACAGCCTTCTGGGCTGACTGGTTAGGTAGGAGGCTGACCTGACATCTTTCCTCAATTCAGCTACCCTAACAGAATTGGTCAGGATAAGAGTGAAGATATCACATGATAACTTTGCTCCTAAGAAGAGGGACTTCTTCTTCAATGCTTTCTGAAGATCGTTCTTCCCTGGTTGACTCCTGAGTGCACTGACTACTCCATCTCTGTGCCCTTTCCAGGCTTTTCTTCTCTGTCTCAGTCATAAAAGTTGAAGGTTTTCAGAAGCTTTAGGTCATCTTCTCATTCTACCCGTCTACTCCTAAGGAAGGACATGTTACCATGTCCTGATTTCCAAATAGGCAACAAACAATTGCAAATTAATATATGTAGGATGTACATTGTTGTAGTTTCCAGATCCACATGTTCATCTATCAATGGGAAGTCTGCCTTTAGATGTTTCTTGGGCACTTTATAGACTATGTCTGTTTTTCCCCTTCTTGACATCCCTCCCTTCTGCTTCTGGTAAGAGAATCCCTTGTCCTCTACTTATTGTTGTAACATGAGACATAATTGAAATTTGTTGATTATGATTACTATTTTTTTCATCTCTTTCTTTTCCAAACTGAAAGCTCTAAAGGAAGAGGTTTTTTATTTTTTCAACTTTGTATTCAACTTTGTATTCTCAGAATGATCATATAATCTGACATAGAAATATGAAGTTTTAAAATATAACTGGAAAAAATGAATGAGTTAGGTGAATTCATCATAGTTTTTTAATATTTGTTGCATATTTAAGCTATTTCTTTTTTAAGAATAAACAAATCCAAGATGTCTTCTGGGGAAGAATTTCATCAACTAAAGAAGAAAGTAATTTGAGAAACGATGAAGTTGAATAGATTTTGTTACATTTGAATATATTATAAATGTGAACACGATATCATATGAACAAAACTATTTTAAACACCATACATAGTATGACTGAGATAAAGTAGATAACTACTACATGAATACATTAGACACCTTAGCATATTAATCACTGTCACTTTAAATTCCTGTTCTGATAATTCCAAAATCTTCTATATCTGAGTCTAGGTCTGATGCTTGCTCCTTCTCTTCAAACTCTGTTATTCACCTTTTAGTAAGACTTGTAAATTTCTATTCAAAGTTGGACGTGATGTACTAGGTAAAAGTAACTGATGTAGTCTGGCCTTTAGAATGAGGTTTTACATTTATCTTGCTAGGAGCTGGGGTGTGTTTACTGTTTGCCATAGCTGTAGAAGTCAGAAGCTAAAACTTCCTCTTTTGTCGATGATTTTTTTCTCCCCTGTTGTCATGTGGTTTCCCTAGAGACTTCTTATATAAAATCATACACGTGCAGTTCTTTTCTGTTGTAATCCCCTGTTATACAGGAATCCTGTTGATGTGATGGTAGGTATGGGGAGGGGAAGTGTTCTATAATCCTATGATTAGATCTCAGTCTTTTAGTGAGCCTGTGCCCCTGGGCTGTGACCGTCAAAATTTCAGATGTTTCAAAAAGTGGATTCAGATCTTTCAAATAAGGAAAGTCTTTTTGTTAAAGTCAAACTTAACATAAATAATGTTCTTTCTAAGAATGGTATTTTAATTATGACCTGGTCTCTGTTTTTGCCCTCTTTGTTTTATACGTCAGCCACGCTGCCTTATCCTTCTGGATTGGTCTTCTTGAAAATCATTTCTTAGACCTACTCAATAAGTAACCACCATGGGAGAAAGGTCTATGTCTTGTTCACTATTGTATCATCATTAGCACAGAGTACATAATAATTACAAAAGGTATAAATAGTAACAAATAATATTCTCAGATTTTCCATCAGACCTCTCTTCAGAAGCTTCTGCCGACCTCCCAAAAGAACCTTATATTAAAGCAATTAATAGGCATCATTAGATTATTTAGTACATTTCTACTGAGCCTCTTCGTTCATTACTCTCCATCTCATAGTGAAGATGCCAAGCAGTGAAGATGTAGGGCATATGATGCTAGGTAAAATTAGACTTCTTTGCTTTCCTGATTTGAGTCTTTATAATTGTATAAATTCTTTTTCATTTAGTAGTATTCTGGGCAATGGTTGTCTTGCTGCTTCTGAATTATTTTATGTTTCATCTTGAAACAGAAACCCAAATTGAGAAGTAAAAATAGAAACATAAAGGGGCCATACCATTATTTTCCATAATTTTCGTTACATCTTTTTGATTTTCTTTCTCCATTCACCTTTCGTAGAAAGCTGTCATTGCATTGGATGCACTGAGGCAAAAGGAAAACAAATGCAGCTCTGACTATGATGAGAGTGAAAGAAGTAAAGTGACTCCCCAGGTGAAACAATGACAATGGGAGTTCTTCTCTTATTACCCTCCACCTACTCCAGTATGGTTTCTGCTGATTAATTCCACCAAATCAGCTCTCACTAAGGTCAGTGCCATCTGTTTCCCACATAGTGGATGATTTCAATCTACAGAGCAGCTTAGTGACATTCAACATTCTATTAATCAAACTGATGGTAAATCATTGTAAGTAATTAAATATGTCATGATTTATAGTATATCAAATATTAAACATGTTGATGTGAGTTGTCAATACATCAAATCCATGGAATCTCTTCAGAGATAAAAAATATTTCAAAAAAGGGAAAACCACGCCAAGAAAAAATAAGCCACTTCCATTCTAGGTCCCACCCTATTTCTCTCCTCCACTTCCTAAGGAAAACCTCTCAAACCAATTTTCTATACAAACTGTCATTCCCTTCTCTTATTCACCCTTCCACATTCTCCATGATGGTTTCTGCTGATTAATTTTACCAAACAGGCTTTCACTAAGGTCGCCAATGCCACCTATTTTCCAATGTAAGGGACAACTTCCATCCATATTTTTTACAAACGCATTGAGTCTTCTAAGCAGTTTCAGTTTGTAAACATGGTCTTATCACTGTCCTCTCTCCTCTGTTATCATATGGCCACTCCACCTCTGCTTCCTTTGTGGTGTTCCCTCCCTTTTAAGGTTGGAAGTCATAGGACTCATTTTGTTTCTTTTTTAAAATTTATTTATTTAGGCTGCATTGGGTCTTTGTTGCTGCACGCAGGCTTTTCTCTAGTTGCGGCGAGCGGGGGCTACTCTTTGTTGTGGTGCACGGGCTTCTCACTGCGGTGGCTTCTCATTGCAGAGCACGGGCTCTAGGCAGTAGTTGTGCCTCATGGGCTCTAGAGCACAGGCTCAGTAGTTGTGGCGCATGGGCTTAGTTGCTCCGCAGCATGTGGGATCTTCCCAGACCAGGGCTTGAACCCGTGTCCCCTGCATTGGCAGACAGATTCTTAACTACTGCACCACCAGGGAAGCCCCATAGGACTCATTTTAAGTCCTTTTCTCATTCTATACTCTCTTCTCATTTGACCACTTCTGTTCCTATGCCTTCCAATTAATGGAATTGCTTGTAAATTGCAAACTCAAATATCCAACAGACATTTGTAGTTAGATGTCTACCAGCCAACTACAGAGAATATCTACAACTTTTGTGTTTATATCCTCACATGGACTGATGTACCTTCTACAGAGAGAAGTCAATTTTTTACCTTCTCATTATAGCATTAAATCTAACTGATATTAATTTCTAACATTAATTAGTATTAATTTTAAACATAATAAATATTATGTGTCCATTAATATTACTGTCTTTAGGTTATTTTCCCTA